TATATATATATATATATATATGTGGTTATATAGCCTCCCTCACAAGGTTATTTCAAGGGTTAAATGAGATAATGATCTCAACATGTTCTTTAAGTTTATGTACTTTGCAGCACTGTACTGGTAAATGTTTAACAACTGGCTCTCCAAGGGAAAAAACTGCATATAAAACACACTTTTAAGTTGTATCTGCATTATCAATATTTTATCTATCACTTTCTTAAGCCGAGAAAACTATGGCCCATTGCAGTCTGTTTTTGTAAGGTCCACTGTATTTTAAAAAGTAAAAACCATTTTCTTCGTAGGCTGTATTTGGTCCACAGGCTATAGTTTGTCAACTCCTGGTCTAGACAATCAACAAACCAATGAATCAAGACCAGCGTTTGCCAATTTCCAAGGTACATATGCTCATGCTGAAAAATTGTTCTTGTAAGCCTGTTAGAGATGGTTCCAGCACGCCTTTGCTGCTACGTAAAAGTAATCCATGAGCATTATTAATTTTTGGAGCTTCCAAAGTTCAATAGCGCTTTTAGTAGATATAAAACTAATATTTAATGCTTAATATCTGATGTTAGGATGCTAAGCTATATTGCCAAACCAAATGCCTAAAAAATACAGTTAATAAATTTTATTGATTAACTCTAAAAAAAAAATAGGCACCTGTGGCACTTGAGCCAATTTTAGGGAACACTACCATTCTTCACCATATGCACTTCAGGTTTTCTCTCTCTCCCTCCTTCACTATTTATTTTTTAATACTCTGAGTTTAACAAATGGCTGGATATTACTACAGGGGAGCAGATGAGGCTATAAAAAAGAGGTACAAATCTTTGATAACATTTTTTCAATTTGTTTTATAGTTATTTAAAATTTTAAAATGTAAAAACTTATTAGAAACACATTAAGCAAAGTCTTGTTTTATTTTTAAATCCCTAACAGGTCATCTCTTAATGTCACTTTAGTTGGCTCTAAATCCTAGGAAAACTAGATGACATTCTTCATAGTTTCAGAAGTTAATTATATAAGCAAATTTCCACAGAGGAAGACTACCACCTTATTTATGCTTCTTGGATCTACTACATAATACAAATGTAATCCTGAAAATAATTTTAAAATTTAACATCTTCACTACCAGACATGAAAACAAATTATATTAACAGATACAGGCGATTACTTACCATGGACTACACAAAAAAATTTGCAGACCATATTATGTAAAGAACTAAGGGGGTACAAGTTTAATACATACTACCTCGGTTATTTAGGTATCCAATTCTTTGCAAAATAGTGTATCTCCCTCCCTCTTATGGACTTCAATTATTAACAAAGAAAATGACTGGAATGAGGTTTTGCCCCTCAATGGCTTCTTGGTGCCTTCCTTGAGTTCACTTACCTACAGGGTTCTATACCCAATTCTTTCACTAACTTCTCAGATAGCGTTGGAAGATCATTAAGTCTCTCAAGCTCAGTACTGCTAGTTTGGGGAACTAACTCTAACTTCTTTGATGACATTTGGAGATCAATTATTCTCTCCAAGCCTTATTAAAGGAAGAAAGTCTACCCTAGGTGATCTTTAAAAGTTTCTTCTAACTCTGACTTTTTATGATTCTATTACTTCTACTTTGAGACACACAATAAGAACTAATTGAGAAAAGAGAAGCTATGATCCTTTTCCTCAAAGCACTTACAACATAATGAAAGGAACTAGTAAGGAACAGCAGCACAAATAAGGGAACTTCAGATTTTATTTATTTCTAAGACTGTGTTCTTCACCTCTCTCCCCATCTTGTTCCTTCCCCTCACCCCTGCACACATACATATATACAAAATACATATAAAGCTATCTGGATCCTTTTAAGAACAAATGTCATGACACTGATAGATTATAAAAATAAATCTGACAATGCGAAGTTATAAGCTCCAGTTATAAACCTACCTGCTTTTGTATCCTGGTTGAAGCGACAGTATTTAGAGCTCTCAAGTGCAGACAGACACTGCTCAATGGGTACCCAGACATATGTCTCTGGACACAACAAATCAGAAGGCCTATACTGACCCTAATGAGAAAAGAGAAAAAAAGGACAGATAAATTAGTGACACGATAACTTCCTGGCTACAAGGTTCCTATGAAAGGAAGGTTTTCAATCACCAGTCTAAACAAAATCAACCAAGAAACTGCTTTACTATACTAAATGACACTGTTAGTGATTATTTCACCATCTCAAGAATACAAGTTTGACTAAAAGGCTTTCTAAAATTGACATTGCATATTTTATAGTGCCTATGATCTGAACAACTTCAGCTTTCCCATCTTCTACAGCATCAGAGTAAATTCACAATTCTGCCTTACAGAACTGATGTTCACACTAGAAAATTTAGACTTAAAAACCACTTGTCTCAAATAAAAATTGTCAAAATACAGAATTTAAACCTTCGAAAATGTCACACAATAATTTTTATTATATTTCTGTTGGTGTTTTAGAACATCACATAGTGGTTACTGAAGATTTTCAGAAATGAAGATTTGCTATTATTAATAAAATTAGGGAAGTTAATGGATTCATCATACTTTATTAAGAATATATTTGTTGGGGGGGAGGCAGCTAAGTGATACAGTAGACAGAGGACCAGCCCTTAAGTCAGGAGGACCTGAGTTCAAATCTGGCCTCAGACACTTAACCCTTACTAGCTGTGTGACCCTGGGCAAGTCACTTAACCCCATTGCCTAACCAAAAAAATAAAAAATATATATACATACATATATATTTGTTGATATCTATTAAGAATATATTTGTTGATATAAATTTTTATGCTTCAATTCTATCTGGAATACATTAAAGTCAAGGGGGAAAAAGATGAAATATGAAATTTCAGATAAATATTGGTTATGTAATAAAGATTGGAAGCAAAAAAGATGCCATAATAGATATCATCCAGGAAATATATGATCACAAAAGGAAGTAACAGGCATATCAAAAAAGCAAGAGACAGTAACTATACTGCTACCAGAAAATGTTACAAAACCTAGAGGAAGGCCTCGAGCTTGTTGGGTTGATCCTTTACAGAGGATTTATGAGAGGACATGAACAAGAAAGAATCAGAGGATAAGAATGGATAAGTGGAATGAAAAAGAATTTATTAAGTTCTTACTATATGACATGCCCTATGCTAAGCCCTGGGAATGCAAAAAGAAAAGCAAGATAACCTCAGCTTTCAAACTCACATTCTAATTAGAGGAGATGACACATAAAGGTGGGTTCAGCCACATGGCAGATAGAAAAGGTAGGGGGTACTTTGGGTCTGGCATGCAAAACAATAGGGTTGATGGTAAGTTTCCATGGGCTTTGAGAAGCAACGGGAGGGCAGATATTCCCTAACTAACAACTGTAGGGAAGGGTGGATAAAAGGGTAGAAGTAGAGGAGGGTTAAGCTCAGGCAGGGATAGGATCTGGATGGTTAGCATCCAGTCAAGAAGGATATGGATGAGCTGCACAAGTGGAGGGAACACCCACACTAATGAAGTCAATTAGATCAAGACAGTTAACTGAATCTCCTAAAATTCCATTAAAATTGCAAGAAGGTTATTACATTTCCAAATGGTTGATTTTTTAAAATATTAATTAATTTATTTATTTATGTATTTATGTATTTATTTATTATTCAAAAGCGGTATCATTAATGCTAAATGATCAACAACATCTCAACATATAGTAGACAGGAGGCAGTACAAATAATTCTTTAAGTACATGGTGGAAAGAGGTTCAGAGGCTATATTTGGGTTTTATTTTTTGTCAACTTAAATGAAATTCAAAGGTTCTTGCCTCTAAATAGATGATAATAACTGTGGTAGAAATGACATCTATATAACAAAATAAAGTTTAGAGAACATGGCAGAATAAATGCAGGGACTCACCTCAGTTCTCCCCTAAACCCTTCCAAATACCTTTAAATAATGACTCTAAACAAATTCTAAAGCAGCAGAACCCACAAAAAGACAGAGTGAAACAATTTTCCAGCCCAAGACGACTTAGGTTAACAGGAAAGGTCTGCTCCATCAGGGGGAGAGAGAAGCAAGCACAGGCCACGCCAGTGTAGACAAGGCCCAGCAAACCAGGAACAGGCCTCAGGGTGACTGAATCAGTGGCAGCAGTGGCAGTTTCCAGACCTGTCAGCTCATAGACAGTAAGGGGATCAGAAAATGGCTCAGAAAGATTTATAGGTGTCTCATTGCTGGCACCTGGGGAAGGATTCTGTTGCATTGTCTCTACATGGATCTGGACTGCAGTCCTGGATCTTAATCCCAGTGCAAGAAGGAGCACTAGAACAGCAGAGCTTGCAGCCGCAGAGGAGCAGGGACCCTGGTCACAATTCCAGGAATGAAAAGAGTGCCTGTGGTCACTCACAAACCAGTGCACAGTACAGGAGAACAGTAAACACACATCCTATCACCTTGGGAGAGCCAAAAATTTACAGGCCCCCAGAATTATCTCTGAAAACAGCTGCACAAAAAAATCTAAAGCTTGGGATAGCACCCTCTCCATTTGGGAAGCAAAACCCCACATTAGCACAGAGTTAAAGGTCAAGAAATAAGCTGTAAAATAAGCAAACAAGAGAAAAAAATTCTGAGCAGAGAAAGTTAATATGGTGACAAGGAAGATCAAAATACACTCAAAAGAAGACAACAAAGTCAAAATTCCTGCTCTAAATCACTACTGCTGAGAGAAATACAAATTAAAATAACTTCTCTAAACTACTACCTCATACCTGTCAGATTGGCTAATATGACAGAAAAGAAAAATGACCAATGTTTAAAGGGATGCGGGAAAATTAAAACACTAATGTACTATTGGTGAAGTTGTATACTGACTCAACTACTCTGGTGAGCAATTTAGAACTATGCCCAAAGAGCTACAGAACCATGCATACCCTTTGACCAAGCAATACGACTAATAGGTTGGTATCCCAAAGAGATAAAAAACAAAAAGGAAAAGGACCTATGTGTACAAAAATATTTATAGCAGCTCTTTTAGTTGTGGCAAAGAATTGGAACTTGAAGGGATACCCATCAATTGGGGAATGGCTGAACAACATGTTGTATATGATTGTGATGGAATACTAACATGTTTTAAGAAATGATGAACAGGACGCCCTCAGAAAAACATGGAAAAGACTTAAATGAATTGGTACAAAGCGAAATAAGCAGAGCCAGGAGAACAGTGTACACAGTAACAACAATACCGTATGATGATCAACCATGAATATAACTTAGCTATTCTCAGCAATACAATGATCCAAGACAATTCTATAGGGCTTATGATGAAAGGTGCTGTCCATCTCCAGAAAAGAACTGGTAGAGCCTGAATGCAGATCAATGATACTTTTTCTTTCTTTATTTTTCTTTTTTTTTGTCTGTTTTCTTTCACAGAATGACTTACATGGAAATGTGTTTTGCATGACTACACATGTATAACCCCTTCTCAATGAGGGGGGAAAGAAGAGAGGGAGAGAATTTGGAACTCAATATTTGAAGAAAAAAAAAAGAATGTTACAATTGTTTTTATATGTAACTGGGAAAAATAAAATATTAAATAAGATTTTTAAAAATAAGGTTTAGAAAACACTTTATATTCATTATCTCATTTGAACATTATCTTGAACTTGTGAGGAAGGTGCTTCAAATATTATTACCCTCATTTTACAGATGGGAAAACAGAGGCTCAGATTAGTTAAGTGATCGGAAAGTTGTGAGATAGACAGTAAGTAGTTAAAGCAGCAGTCAAAGCCAGGTCTCCCCTGATGCCAAGTCCAATATTTTTTCTACAATACTACATTGCCTCTCAATTCTTACAGTCACTGTAATTTTCTTAATTAACAACTCAGGTTGAGACCAAGCAGAGCTAACCTAACCACCTCACTCAAAGCATAGTATTAATCACTAATAATCTGTGAAATACAAATTAAAGCAACTGAGGTCCCACTTCATACCCGGAGATTGCCGGGTAAACAGACACGCTAATGCGCTGCCAGCAGAGCTGCAAATTGCTATACCCAGTCTGAAAAGCAATGTGGAACTATACCGCAATCCACTGAACTATGTTTGAACTATGTTCAAAAATATTTCCTAGTAACACTTTTTCTTTGGTGTGATAACTGGAAACTAAGGGAGTTCTCATAAACTAGGAATGGCTGAAGAATTTATGATACACAGAATATTATTTCACCATACAAAGTATATGTAGTTCTGTGGTTCTGATTCTGGAATGAGATCTCAGATCTGACACTGTAGGCCTAGTCCAGGGAAGTAAAACTGACAGTTCTGTGACACTGTCCCTGGAACTGTATTTATGATTCCGCCCAGCGGCGAGTGAAAAGGACAAGAATTATAGAAACAGGGGTCATTCTAATGCCTCTGTCACTGAACCTGCAAAAGCTTCTAGCTAGCAGACAAGGACTGGGGTCGGCAACTGTCTATAGAAGTGCCACCTGGTGACAAACCTGGGGATGCAAATACAAAAACAAGACAGCCCCATCTTTCAAGCTCACATTCTAGTTTGTGTTACCTAGAACCGAAGAAGGGTCTAGAGACCAGAAAGCTCAGTCCAGGAAGGCTGTGGTCAGGCTGTGCCCTAGATCAGAGCACGAAGGGCCAAAGTCTGTAGCTTTCTGATCAGAGCCACTGCTATATAATGCTTTAATAAAGAAGAGAGTATTCAATACTCAGAGAACACAATAGTAGGACTCCGGATAATACCCACCAGGAAGGTAAAACACTCTGATATTCCCTCTAGAAGTATGTAACGCCTGACCCTAACACAAAGTACCAATACGGGAAGCAAGGCTAAAAAATGAGTAAACAAATACCTACAGTAGAAGACTATTATGGTCCCTAGGGACACTCAATAAACAAGCCCAGATGAAAAGAATTCTAAAAGATCTACAAGCAAAGTTCAAGTAAAAACATAGTTTGGCCACAACATCAGTTAGAATTCCTAGAAGATATGAAACAATAGTTTAAAATATTAAAAATAAAATGAGAGCATTAGAGGAAAGAATGGAA